CAGTCGATAACATATATTACGTGTTTGCTTATTCATATGATAAATGATAGTGTCATAAATGAATAACAGTCATTAATAATCGTTTGGTCTAATAGGATGAGACATTAAATTTTTTAAGTAAAGTCAGATGTTTAAATCCTGACTTTTGTGAATAGAGTAGGTTGAGTTAGAAAGATCGTCCTCGCCTTTACAATATTCGATTTTGATTATTCAGTTATTAGATAGGTGGTTAATTCATATAAAAAGAAAGGAGATTAGGAGGGAAGGAAAAGTTTGTCCAATAAGCTCAACACACCTAGGGGTGTGCAAATTCAGGTACTCGAAAAATTTTTGTTGGTGATTTTTTGACCCCGCATCCCGTCTCGGATGTTGTGGGTATCGACCCGGAAATTATCGGATTGGGACTCGACTGAGTAATTTTAAAAAAAAAAATACTCGATTTTTTTAAGTTCGAATCGACAGATCAACAGATTGAATCAACCTAATAGAATAGTTTTACATACCTCTAAACATAACAACTTAATTATTGTCTAAATCAAAGCGAACATCACCCATTGAAAACGTACCATAGATATGTGTATTCACATAATTTATCATTTTAATTAATTGGAAAGTAGATCCTTGACTTATCATTGGTCCACATGCTTTGCCTTCATTGGTCAACATGTTCTCTCTCCCACCAAAAGAAATATAAATTAAAAATAAAAATAAAAATAATCAAAATAAGTTAAGGACATGTAGGTAATGTTTGTTTTTGCATAGGTAAAAGGTCAGCAGTCAGCGGACCACATCTGCAGGCATCTGCAGCAGAATAGGTGGACCAAAAGTCTACAGTCTACAAGAAGAAGACTGTTTGTTTTTTAACGTCTGCAGACTGCTAAAATGAACTGAAATATAAATAAACTGACTTTTTAAACTTAAAAGAGTTTTGCAATACTGAGATTTAAATAATTTTAGGTTTACAATACTGAAATTTAAATAATCCATACAACTACAATAATAAATTATTTAAAATAAATCAATCCATATTTTAAAATAAATCAATCCATACTAATTAATTATTTAAAATAAATCAATTCATACAACTACAATACTAAATCAATCCATATTTTAAAATAAATCAATCCATTCTAATAAATTATTTAAAATAAATCAATCCATACAACTACAATAATAAATCAATCCATATTTTAAAATAAATCAATCTATACAAATAAATTATTTAAAATAAATCAATCTATACTAATAAATTATTTAAAATAAATCAATCCATATTTTAAAATAAATCAATTCATATTTTAAAATAAATCAATCAATACTAATAAATTATTTAAAATAAATCAATCCATATTTTAAAATAAATCAATCCATACTAATAAATTATATAAAATAAATCAATCCATACAACTACAATAATAAATCAATCCATATTTTAAAATAAATCAATCCATACAAATAAATTATTTAAAATAAATCAATCCATACTAATAAATTATTTAAAATAAATCAATCCATATTTTAAAATAAATCAATCAATATTTTAAAATAAATCAATACATACTAATAAATTATTTAAAATAAATCAATCCATACTAATAAATTATTTAAAATAAATCAATTCATACAACTACAATAATAAATCAATCCATATTTTAAAATAAATCAATCCATACTAATAAATTATTTAAAATAAATCAATCCATTCTTTAAAATAAATCAATTCATACTAATAAATTATTTAAAATAAATTATTTTAAAATAAATCAATCCATATTTTATAATAATTTATTTTAAAGTAAATTATTTTATAATAAATTATTTTATAATAAATTAATTTAAAATAAATAACCTTATTAAATTATTTAGAATTATTTTAATAAATAAATATATTTTATAATTGTTCTTGAAGATGTTTGAAGACCTTTGAAGACATAAAACCAAGTCTGCACCAAGAAGAGCTCGCGCAGACGTTTGAAGAGCTTATGTCTTCTAAAAAACAAACAGTCTGTGAAGCTTAATGTCTGCACGTGGTCTGCGCGACACATACATAAGTGATTTGAAGAGTTTGCACAGTGAAAACAAACACCACCGTCAACCAAGCAAGTGAGGTGACCCTTTTCTATATATAAAAATTAATATTTCAATTGCCACTTTGCCCACCACTTCAATTTCAACCTACTTATTAGTACCCAACTTTATTTTAAAAGATAAAAGTTTGAGAAAGGTAAAACAGACATGTACCAAAATAAAAGAATTTATAATATGTTGTCCTCGTTGGATTATAAAGGCAAAAAGTCACCAAACGTCCCTGTATTTTTAAAAAAAATCGATGTCACCCTCATATTTTTTGTTCTCTCAATGTGATCCTCTAATACGGAAAATAAACCCAATGTAGCATTTGAACAATATTTTTCGTCATTAGCCGTTATAGTACTGACATGCCAATTCACGATGCTGACATGACTATCCACATGTCATGTTTGAGTTATCAATTTAGTCAATCTGCTTTGTCACCCGCCACGTTAATCTACCACCCTAGACTGTCACATCGATACTGTAGACTGCCATGTTAGCATTGTGAACTGTCACATCAATACCGTAACGGTCAATGATGAAAAAAACGTTGGTCAAAGGGACACATTTGATTTATTTTTTGAGTTGTTGAGTCACATTGAAAAAAAAATACGAGAGTCATATTGATATTTTTTTCAAAAGTATAAAGCCCTCTGGTGTTTTTTGCCGGTTATAAATAATTGGAGTCATTAAGCTACCTCTTGTTTTTTTTACTTCTAATGTGATTTTTGTAATTACTGCATTAACTTTATAAATTTATTATTATCATAAAGTCAAAAATAACTATTTTATACCAATTTAATAAATTTGATTGATTATAGATATGAAACTTGATATATTTACTGCTAAAAATTATAAGAGTTATAATTAAATATTTTTTAGGTCAAAGTCTAAATTTTGTATTATATTAACTTACAACTTCCTAACTTTTAAGGGATAAATGTGTTATTTGAGGGGAAGATCACAATTTATCCCTAATACATATTTTTTTAATAAATTTAAGAGATTATAAGATGATATATATTTATAATATTTTTTAATTATCGACAATACATATATTATCACACCTATAAAAGTGGGTTTCATTTAATGACTTCTTAAAAGTGCAATGACAAGTTTTGTTCGTAAAATATTTCTCTAATCGACTTGTCGATTCAGTCGTAACCCTTAAGTCAAATTTAGAGGGTTACATACACGGCAAATGCGACTATTTACACGTAAGACATCTAGAAAAAAATAACATTTATTTTTACCATTGAGATTTCTAGTACATTATTGTCTAGTGATAATGGCCTTGATTTATTAAGTTTAAATATATTCAAATATAATTAATTTAAATTTAAATATTTAGAAATTATATGTATTTAAATATTATATATTAAAGGTTCAATATTGAGCGATTTGGAAAATAATTAAATGTCAGTACCTTGCAACGACAACTGTACATTGACCTTTCACCATTTGTTTATCTTTAATAATAACAGCACAAATTTATATAAAAAGAATACTAACGTTAATATAAACTATATACGGTCTAGGGATGGCAGAATGACTCGAATCCGACGGAAAAATTCGAAACTCGATTAAGTTCGGATCAGGTCGGGTTAAATGATATCGGGTCGGGTATAGAAGATTTTTTTGGGTTCGGATTCGGGGCAAAGTATTCAGTCCCGATTATATATATATATATATATAATATTTTATATTTTTTATATTAATTATATATATAATATTTTTAAGTTCAGGTTTGGATATAATATTTCGGGTTGGATTCAGGAACGGAACAAAAAAAATCTCCGACGGGACACCCCAATAAAAAAACCCATCGGAAATTGAGGACGGAGATTCATTTCGAGTTCGAAAATGGGACGAATGAAACCCACCCCGTTGCCATTCCTATTACGATCCTTTATCCATTTCCTTATGTCTCCTTTAACGTTGGTTAGCCATAATGGAAGAAATTGGGGTAAATTAGTTAGATTAAAAATAATATTAAATTCAAATATTTTGTATATTATTTTATCTCAAAGTAATTTAAAATTGGCTTAAAAAGAGTCCAAACACTATATAGTCGGTGCGTCAAATTTAAAAAAATTCGTTTTTAATCATAATTAAGGAAGGGTAAATCACACGCTAGTCACTAAATATTTGGTTCTATATTTCATCATTACATTGTAAAATATTTGATTTAATTATTAAATCATCAGCAACATGATGATATGGTTGTTTCTTTCCTTATTTTCCTACAAAAACTATCAAGTTATTCGATAATCACTGATAATCAATTATTGTCCATCACATGTCGTTATTTATGATAAAATCGATACCAAAACATTAATATTTTATTTTGTTTTTCTCAAATTAATTTTTTTACAAAATCTACTTAAAATTAATGAAAAAATTCTAAAAGTTTTATGTTCTAATACTTTAATTTTCTTTAATGACCGCCCAATAAAACTAATTTATAAGTATATATATTTTTATATTCTTGAATGAATATTTCTTACCGTTTAACTGTTTAAACAAGCACTGTAAAACTAAAAATAATAGATTTTTGTGTAGTTTTATAGTTTTAAAATGATTTTTAAAAAAATTTAAAGCGATAAAATATTGAAGATAATAAGACCAGTTTTATCGGTGTTTAAAATAATCTCAAAAGACTATCTTATTAATATCTAAAATAATCTCAAAAGATGATAGAGAATGGTTATTTAACAGCTAAATGACTTAATTGAAATGTAATAACATTTAATGTTAAAATTGAAGCGTATTAAAGTTCAATGCTAAAATATGTACCCAATCTAAAGTATAATGACTAATAATGTAGTTTACCCTTGAAGAAAATAAAAGAAAAAGGAGAGAAAAATAAATAAATAATAGTAATAAAGTACAGCGAGACGAGTGCGAGTGAGAGAGAGAGAAAGGGCGTTGTCAAAATTTAATAGTCAATAGTAAAAACACAGAGGGGCATATGCGTTGCCCACCATTAACGTTTGTCTCTCAATCCACACCCTTTCTTCCCACAACCCTCTGCAAAGCTACACCTTGTTGTTGTTGGTGATGTTGGTAAGTGGAGGTTTCCAGAGAGAGAGAAAGTGAATAAAAAAGAAGAAAAAGACCCAAGTTATTCTCAGGTAAAGAGAGAAAGGTAGAGATATTGTTGGGTATTTTCCCTTGTTTCCCCAGATGCACTTTCAATGGGGAAATATGAGGACCAAAATCTGCAGCAGCAAAGGGATCAGGGTCTTGAATCAAGGAACAATGAAGGGCGTTCGGGATTCTTGTGTGGAAGATTTTGGATGGTCTTGTCTAGGCTTGCAAGTGAGTTCAGTTTCAGATGTGTGTTTGTTTTGTTCCTCAGCTTGTCGGTTTTGCTGCCTGGGATTTTCTGGATCCTTCCTATGCGATCTTTGAACTCTGGGTTTGATGCTAAGCAATCTATTAAGCTCAGTGGTAAGACTTCTTTCAAATTTAGCTTCCCATATTCTCTGTGTGGTTAGGGCTTAATTCATGGTTTCTATGTTTCTAGCAAATGGGTATGTTGATTTTTCATTTTATTTTTGGGTTTTAATTTAGATCCTCTGTTGTTGAGAGCTGTTGGGTATTTCCCTGATTGATGTCTCATTTACCTTGTAGTTATGTTGATTCTCTGATGGCTCTTGTTATAAATTGATACATGATAATATTTAATTTACCCTCTGGTACTTGTGAATGACTTAGATTCAAAATTTATTTTAAATATGGAATTCTGGTGTTGTAGAATATGATGTTTAATTTGTTTTTCTTTCATATGTTGATGTTCTATGTGAGCAAATTGTAGTGTTTTGACTTGTTTTAATGGATGTTATCAGCACAAGTCCGAAAGGGGCATGGATTTATTTAACCTTGTAGAATTTCTGTGAGTTTATGTTCTTTTTCTTTATGACTATATGGAACTTGATTTTCTATTTTAGTACAATTTATTTTTATGATAAGATGTGGTTCGAATCAAAGTTGTGTCGCAGGAAGTGATTGTTTTTCTATATTTATAGTATTTCTCCTTTTAGCAAAAGAAGCAAACACTTAATGGTTTGTTTCAATGGTTTCCTCTCCTTTTTTCTTGTAAATGAAAATGTGAAATTTGTGAGACAAGTGCTATGTTTTTGTTTTCCATACCTTAAATTGATGACCGGTTGATCACATAGAACTGGTTATTTGATGTCGTGCCATTTAATCCTTTCTTTATTGAATCCAACGGTCTTCCTTGACTCGTTATTCCTTCCTTGATTAGAATGCAGTATGTGCCTTTTGCTTCCATTGTGTTTCCATCACAATGAAGACCTTTTCAGTTCAGTGTTAGGTTTCCGTTAGTAATTTTCCTTGTTTCTTGCTTATATATTCATTTATTCTTTACAGCCCCGGTCCATGCACGTTTTACTCTTCAGAAACCAGTTTTAGAGCTTGTTCAGCATATTGAAAAGTTGGAGTATGATATCTATGAAGAATTAGCCGTTCCGGATACCAAGGTTATAGTCTCAACTTCTTCCATTGCATTACACATAATTACTTGTATATTACGTGAAAACTTGATCTATAAGCTACTCTTTTTCAACAGGTGGCTATCTTATCCATGCATCAGTCAGATGTATCTAACTCTACTAACGTGGTGTTTGGTGTTCTTTCCAATTCGTTAGAGAGCCGAATAAGTCCAGTAGCCCTTAGCGTGCTGAGATCATCTTTAATTGAGCTGTTTCTTCGGCAATCCAATCTAACTTTGATGACTTCAATTTTCGAGCAGCCTTCTGACTTTGAGATTGTGAAGTTTCGTGGTGGCATCACTGTGATCCCTGTTCAATCTGCTTCCATATTTCAAATAACCCAGTTTCTGTTTAATTTTACTTTGTACAACTCAATATCTGAAATAGAGAACAAGTGCATTGAGTTGAAGGATCAACTTAAGTATGGACTACGCCTGAGGTCTTATGAGGTATGATATCACTCTCGAGCAATTCTGACACATGACAATGTCATCAATGCTTTGTTTTTGGGTATCATAACCCTAGTTTAGGAAATTAAGACCATGTTCCATCAGTACAATGAAACATAAATTCTGGGTTTTGGAGAGAGGGAAGGGGAAGGGTTTTTTCCATACGGTTTGTACCCTTTGATGACCTAATGTTTGAGTCCTATTTGTTTGTTTTGTTTATAATTATTTTTATTTGTTCGTTGCAGAACTTGTTTGTGCAATTAACAAATGAAAATGGCTCCACTATGTCATCACCAGTTATAGTTCAGGCTTCGGTGATGTCAGATAATTATGGTAACCTTCTGCCTCAGAGATTAAAGCAGTTGGCTCAAATCATCACACGCTATCCTGCAAGGAATCTTGGTCTCAATAACTCGGTGTTTGGTAAAGTTAAAAGCATTAGCTTATCATCTTGTTTGAAGGGTACACTTCATGCTACCCCTCCCACTCCTTCTCCGGCTTTGGCTCCAGGGCCATCGATTTCACCGAATCCTAATTCTGCACCAACTCGCCCTCCAGCATTGGCACCAAATATTGCTGCTTCTCCATCTGCTCGTAGTCCCCTGCATTCACCGGGTCATAGAAGCAGTCTTGACCCTTCTTTTCCTCCTTCAATTTCTCCTGCATCTTCTAGTGCATCAACTCACTCCCCTCCCCCTTATCCGTATTCTCGTCCTGCGGTTCCACCAAGCCATCCCATAAGATCTCAGTCCCACTTAATTCCTAAGCACACACCAGTAATGAGTCCCCAGTCACAGTTGTCCTCGAGTCTACCACCAATACCTTCAGTCTCTTATGGATCTCGGCCCGGCCAAGGTATGGAGCGTACTCCATCAGCGCAATCTCCGTCATGTAAGCATCCATGCTAAGTGAACTATGCGATTCTGCTTATGTTCTTTTTCCATTTTAAAATGAGTAAAGATTCATCGTGTCGCATCCTTGTTAATGGTGGTTTCAACCATGGAAATGCCAGTTGGACATGCATTTGTTTTTAATTATCAATCCAATTATAGCTAATTGTGATGATTGTTTTTTGTGATCATTGTCCTGCAGCTGTAGCGGTACGTGTGTTCCCTGCGGAATTCTGTTTGCTAGGAGTTTTGGTAGTCTTCATCTGTCTTCTTTTATGATTGAATTGATTCATTGTGCCATACCAACCGAAATCGCAATACATACGAAAAGTCCATGGCAGGTGATGTTCATTTTCCAATTTTGATATGGAAAGGGCTGTAGAACCACCTGTGAATAACCCAAGAAGCATCGAAGTTTTTCCTTTTCCTTTAGTCAATGCAATCGATCTATACGCGAACGAGATGGAAACATGAACTGCTGGTCAAAGCCGGAAAGTTGGCAGGTCACTCATCTGACTTAGCTTACAGTTCATCACAAAAGAAAAAATGTGGGGTGTTTTTCCCAAAGGGAATAACTCCTTGAGGTGGTTTGACTACTTGAGAAACCGGCATACCTCGTCGGTTTCAAGAACCATCTCCCATATTGATTCAAGTGTAAAGAATATGCTGTTTCATTTTGAGCAGCTATAATGTAGGGTAAAGGCGAAATGTAAAAACTAGTGTTTTCTAATAATGAAGGATATCTGAAAATTAGAGTATATACTTGTATGAATATGGCATGTTGTTGATTAGATTCTTCTAATGAACCTAGAATGGTTCGAAGTACAATCCGGTCTATTGAGGTATACATTATTCTTCCAATTGAGTTAAAAAGACCGGTGCTTGGCCGGAGAGTAGTTTCCGATTGCCGGCCTTAGCTTCATATTTCCAGGTAGGTCCAAGAAGACAGGATATTGCTGCTCCGCCAAGCAAGCAAAAGGCGCACAGAACCAGCCTGGATAAACCAATAATCAATTATCAACCCACGGTTTACATAAATCCCATGGAAACGAAACAAATATGAATCCAAGTTGTTCTTCACGAATCGTATCCACCCAATCTTAACTTAATTAGGTCCCCAAAGCAGCAGCTTCTCTAGTGTTATCAGATGTGTGCATCAGGAAATTCTGCATACCAGCATCTGTTAGCCTTTGTTTTTAATAGACATGTGAAAACATACAAAGACGTTAACTTGGGAGTAACTAAGGGTACTTGCGGGAGGAGCGGAGGAGAAACCATACCGCGGAGGAACTGGTGACGGATACAAGCTGCTGCGCTGATAACGAGGGTGGCTGTGGGTCCACCTCTTGATGACGGCGATGACGTACCTGGTCTAGTCCTACCGGAAGTGTGGCGATAACCTCTTTTTTTGACCAGTGCTTTGTTTTCATTGATTTTTTTTTGTTTCTTTTTTAAAATTTAACCGGGAATGTAAGAAGAGGACTGTATGACTATTTACATGAATATAACAAGTATACATATATAAAAACACCCATTTCTAAATCGAAACTATGACTAAACTCTATACCCTAGGGCTGAACACTAAGCTCAAAGCATGTAGTAATATTGTCTTCATGTGTTAAGTAACTGCAGATAAATAAGAAGCCATGTAACTTGTAAGAAAATTTTCTAGAAGCAGAAACAAAATCATGAAACAACTTAATTTCAAAGAAAACTTGTGTTTTTTCTTTGCCGAGTTGAGCTGGGACATCTTGCAGAACAGATATGTAAAAGAAAAAGAACAGTAACATTACCTGGGAAAGTTCCAATAACTTGTCATTTTCTCATCTATGTTTTGTCTTGAAAGTTAGTATAATATAGATTCTAACTATATACACACAAACACACACATACTTGCCCTCCTTTAAGAAAGCGTTGAAAAATATTACCATTATTAGCAGGCTGGTGAGTTTTTAGAGTAGACAGAGGCTATAGAATGAGCCAAGATGGCCACCAGGAGCTAGCTGTGGAGAAAATCATAGCATCTGGGTTACAGAATTTCTAGGTATATATGTTAGTAATATACATATATACATACACACACACACACATATATATATATATATGTAAACCACAAGCAAGGAGAAGATTAAGCTCTGACAATAGATCCTACCCTCACGAGAGAGATCACTTGCATTGGTTCTGCTACCGAGAAAATCGAGATACCCGTGCGTCCAGTAAGTGAATGCACGAAGAGGCCCCGAAGAAAGGAACCGAGTTCGCAATCGGGTAAGCCCATTCGCAAGATCGTCGACAAGGAAACCGATGTCCCAAAAAAACATTTCACCGGTTTGATCATCATCGGCGGTGGCAGTGTAGTTACCATAACCGATCTCGTAACGACAAACGGGACAGGTGTTGTGAATGCTCAACCAAGGTACGGTACAATCAGAGTGATACAAATGCTTGCACGGTAGCTCTTTTGCTTCGCCACCGACCTGGAACTCATCCCTGCAAACGGGGCAATGAGTGACGTTGATCAGATGGTTTTCCGTGATTTTCACCACCGGCAAAGCTTCGATCGCCGAAGCAGCCGCTGGTGGCGGCCCTGGCCTGTCGTTCTCAGTCAAGCCTTCGATGAAACCATCTATCTCGTTGCCTGTATCCTGGGGTGCAACGATAGTACTCGGCTGCTCGCGAGGTCGTTGAACGAGAGTGACCATGCTTTGACGCCTGGTCGAAGGGTCGAGAGCAGCGGCCAGCGTATCGAATAACCCGGTAGTCGTTTCGTAGGGTTCGAGGCCATGATCAGCTAGAAGCCTAGGCCTTGAGACATCCAGCTCGTGACTAAGTTGACGAAAACAATGGGGACAATAAGTTTCAAAAGGGTTTGAATTGGTGAACCTAATGGTTCGTTGGCAATGGAGACACCAGAAATAATGGTAGGTTCTCATCCTACGGACTCCATTAACTATAACACCAGGACGACGATGGCTGCTTAGAGACATATGGTTCAGTAGGCTATGAAAAGGGGGGATTAATTGTGTGTTTTTAGAAATGTTTTTTTTATCCAAATTATGGAAGAAGAATTCACGGCTCATTATATACGTGAGAAAGAGAGGAGAGAATACCTTGGAGACATGCAGCAAAGGATTCCTTTTCTTCTTGACATGTTCTGTATTTTCCTGGATTTGTGTTCTTCATTTTCCCCAGTTTTCTCTTGTCTTACTTGTAGGAAAAGCAAAGGATGAATTCATAATTGATGTTATCTGGTTGTATAGTTTTTGTTTATAGAGAGTTTAACTTGAATCAAAGGTTTTTAATTTTCTTTTCTAAGGTTATCTTCTGTTTGAGGTATGCTCCGAGTATTATAGTTGTAACGAATTACAAATTTTACTTATTTAAATGCTAAAATATTTATAAATTAAAGTTTAGAAATATATTTAGATGGTAAAGTACGTTGTCCCTTCACTATAGAATATTGTTTTATTGAGTCACTCGATTATTAAAAGTTACAAAATAGTCCCCTAACTATAGGACGTTACTTTCTTAAGTCCTTTGACTATTAAAAGTTATAAAATGATCATCCGACTATTCAATGTGTTCAAAACTTGTCATTTTTAGTTAAAGAATTGATGGTAGTTTGAGTTGAACGTTAATCTGCTAACTGTGATGCAGTAGTCATTTGAGATCTTGATTTCATATTATATAATATCTTAGTCAGCAGGTTAATATCAAACTCATACATTATTTTTTTAATGGAAAAAGACTAGTTTGGAACACAATGAATAGTTAGGTCACCATTTTGTAACTTTTAATAGCCGAGTGACTCAATAAAACAATACTCTATAGTCAGGAACCATTTTATAACTTTTAATAGTCGAAGTACTCAATAAAACAACACCCTTTAATCGAATACTATTTAAAATAATTTATTATATAAAAAACAATACAAAGATGGATAAATGAAGGATTAAATTGTCAATTCGATCTTAAAATTAATGGTGGCTGAAAAGTACTCTCACTTTCTGCTGGTATGGCCCAAGAAAATGAGCCCACAACGTGACAACGACTCAAAGAGCCGGCTGATTCCACTCGGTAAAAGGGCACCCGAGTCGACTCACTCATTTTTCTCTGGCCAATCGGATTGGGTTGGGTCAGCCGAGCCTTCCATCAAAAACCACCCCAAGTCCCTTATGCTTCTCTCTTTTAGTTTCTCTCACACTCCGTGAGAGGAAAGTATAGCCAACAACTTTCTCTCCATCCAAACACGCGAAAATGTCTCATATAGTCTTCCAAGCATCTCCACTACCCAAAACGTTGTTGTTAAAGCTGAGACTGCCGCCCCCGGCTCATCCTTCATCGTGTAGGTTCAAGAAGAGCCTAACGGTGAGGTGTTCTTCATCTTCTTTAATCGACGGTGATGATTCTTCCGTCGCTACTCTCGAGCGTTGTTTCTCGGAACCTCCGGCTCCGGTGGAGCTCGGCTCTTCGGGTTCGAGTGAGGTGGGGCCGGTTATGAAAGGAGGAAAACACGGTGCGTTTGGTGCGGTTACTTTGGAGAAAGGGAAACTTGATTTGACTCAGAAACATACCACGTCTAGCCCTGAGGTTGGTTTTCATTGTTGTATCTTTTGCGTAATGAGTTAATTAAGCTTAATTAGAGCAAGAACTTGCTTAGTATTCTGGCATCAAAACTTCGCAAATACTTAAAGGCTAGTTTTTAATATATATATGTGAGTTATCAAATATATATGTGTGTGTGGAGAAAAGGGTTGTCTTGAATTTAAATAACGATTTTAGATAACTTTGGAAAAAAAATTCAATATGAAAATGAATTCAGATGGAAAATTTAACTTATTTCTGTTATTTAAGCTGTAAGAAGCTAACAGAGAAACTTTCTGCTAAAAAGTTTTTATCTTCTTGTTAAATTAATGAAATTTGATATGTTTGCCTTTCATAACGTGTATGTTCAAACTAGGGTTTTAAGTATCAGTTTAAGAACAAAACCCTGCAACACACAATGGTGAAAATGGAATGTGCGTCGTACCGTTAGGTTTTATTTTTGTAAAACTCTTAAATATTTGCAGTGCTAAATTAGGAACGCAGTTATTTTTGTTTGAATCTTAAGGTATCCTGTTCCTACCCACATGTGATCAGCTTTCATGATTTACATATGAATTTAACTACAGTAGTTGGTTTGTTAAAATATCATTTACAAAGCTTTTATTGTTTTCAGTGTCGGGTTCATTTTTTTTATTGTAAATCAGATGTTTACTTCTTGGTTATTATTATTGGTTTCCTTGAGAACATTGTCCAAAATTTTGGAATGATCAGCTAATGCATTTGAAATTACAGCTTGCGACCGGGGGAGGTGGTGGAGATATTGGAAAGAAAATTAATCATGGAGGTGGGGATGGAGGTGATGATGATGGCGATGATGATGATTATTTCGATGACTTTGATGATGATGGGGAGGGAGACGAGGGTGGACTCTTTAGGAGGAGGATGTTTCTAGAAGAGGTAAGAGATCCGAGTCTAGCAGATTCATTATGCATATTTGACAACTTATTTAGCTAAATGCTTAAGGAATAAATATTCACTTGAATTCTTGGATTTTCCTTCATTTTCTTCCCAGCTTTTTGATCGAAAATTTGTAGATGCTGTTTTGAACGAGTGGCAGAAGACAATGATGGACTTGCCTGCTGGCCTCCGACAAGCTTATGAAATGGTTTAGCGACTTTTCTTATTGGTGTATTACATGGTCAAGGACTTTTTCTGTTTAGATGCTGACAAATCTTTTTGCCTTCAGGGATTGGTCAGTTCAGCGCAAATGGTAAAATTCTTAGCAATAAATGCCAGACCAACCACCAGTAGATTTATTTCTCGAACACTCCCACAAGGAATGTCTCGGGCATTTATTGGCAGGTAATCCTTGATATGCTCATGTTCAGCTCTTGAGAATGTCTCCAGCAATCCGGATGAAATGAATATTTGATCACAGCATATCGTTGAATCTGTCATGATACTTACGTATAATCTTTTTCTGTTTTTAGGATGCTTGCAGATCCTCCCTTTTTATACAGGCTTCTTTTAGAGGAGGTTGCAACAATCGGTACTTCTGTTTGGTGGGAGGTGAAGAATCGAAAGGATAGGTGATTTTAAATAGCATGATGAGATGTATGTTTGCCTTGTTTATCCATTTTGGTAAATCAAACTAATAGACTTGCTTTACTTTCTGTACAGGATTAAGCAAGAATGGGATCTGGCTCTAATGAATGTTCTCACAGTGGCAGCTTGCAATGCTCTTGTAGTTTGGTCTCTTGCTCCATGTCGTTCTTATGGAAACACCTTCCTGTTTGACTTGCAAAACACGTTGCAGAAGCTTCCAAACAATATATTTGAACGGAGTTACCCACTTAGAGAATTTGACTTGCAAAAGAGAATCCATTCTCTTTTTTACAAGGCTGCAGAGTTGAGTGTTGTTGGATTAGCTGCTGGAGCAGTGCAAGGCTCTTTGTCAAATTTTCTAGCCGGTAAAAAGAAGGAAAAGTAATTAGATTTCACTGATCTTCGGTTATCCTTTTTTTACATTTATTTGGAAAGGAGAACATTTTCTTCTTGTTAGTAGGCTTCTTTTACTTGTGCATTACTTGTGACTTTTTTTAACTGTTGGCAGGTTATCTGTGACAATTCCGTCAGTGAGTACCAATGCACTCGGTTATGGTGCATTCCTTGGACTCTATGCAAGCCTTAGATATCAGCTTTTATGTGGATTTGATCAAGCAGTTGTCAACCATTTTGATGTCATTGGTGTAGCGTTGTTCTTCAGCACAGCTTTAAGGTCTATCTCTCTCTTGCTCACATCCGCCTTCCAGATCCCTTTCTTTTTTTCTCTCGTTTTTTTTTGTGCCAAGTACTTCCGACAATTTTGCTCAGTGGTTCCTTTTTGTTGACGTACATGGAATTTGTGGTATTTTTTTGTCTCACCTAACCGGTCCTGTGTAGGGTTTTGAATGTTCAATTAGGGGAGAGATCAAGGCTTGCTTGGCTAGGTGTTGAGGTGGATCCGTTCATTCATTCGGATGACCTCTTGAAAGCTTACAACAGGCCTTCTGAGGATGGCACTAGGTCATCTTCTAAATGGTTTATATCCAAGAACGCCATCGTTTCCGGCCTTGGACTTCTCGGCATCAGGCAAGGAAATGCAGAATCCGTTGCCAATGGAGAAACTGGAGCTCCAAAGGCCCGGAGAAAGAGGATTGTCCGGAAGAAGGTAGCTGCAGGCTCTACATAGTTGGCTGTCCAATTTTGCTGCTTGATGAATCACATAAAGAGTAGCTCGTACATGATTTTTTTTTGGGGGGGGGAGGGAGAGAGTTCTTGACTGTTGGTATTAGTTTTTGATTGAATGTTAAATATTTGGTCATATTCAATGAAGTTCTACACTCCAAGTTCAGAGCCCTTAATAAATTGCAAGGGATATTGGTTTTTTGGTAGATCCTTGTTTACTGAGATGAACCACGATAGAAGATTAATTATTTTTTTCAAAAATATTATAAATGCTTAATTTTTTATATTTTTCAAAATTATTTTTTAAACTTAGTATTATATTGTTATATTTTTTGATAAAATACTTAAAATTTTCAAATTCTTTTTTACTCATAAACCAAAGGATGTCATGCACCTATACAGATCATTAGGAGTTTAAGGTGGTGTTTGTTTTTGCAGAGGTAAAAAGTTTGCAGTCTGCGGACCACATCTGCATGCATCTGCAGTAAAAGAGGAAGACCAAAAGTCTGTAGTCTGCAAGACGAAGACTGTTTATTTTTTAACGTCTGTAGACTGTTAAAATGAACTGAAATATAAATAAACTGATTTTTTTAAACTTAAAAGAGTTTTGTAATACTAAGATTTAAATAATTTTAGTTTTACAATACTGAAATTTAAATAATCCATACAACTACAATAATAAATTATTTAAAATAAATCAATCCATATTTTAAAATAAATCAATCCATACTAATAAATTATTTAAAATAAATCAATCCATACTAATAAATTATTTAAAATAAATCAATTCATATTTTAAAAATAAATCAATCCATACTAATAAATTATTTAAAATAAATCAATTCATACTAATAAATTATTTAAAATAATTTATTTTAAAATAAATTAATCCATATTTTATAATAAATTATTTTAAAATAAATTATTTTAAAATAAATAACCTTATTAAATTATTTAAAATTATTTTAATAAATAACCATATTTTATAATTGTTCTTGAAGTGGTTTGAAGACATAAAACCATGTCTGCACCAAGAAGAGCTCGTGCAGACGTTAGAAGAACTTCTGTCTTCTAAAAAACAAACGGTCTGCGAAGCCTAATGTCTGCGCGTAGTCTGCATGGCGCAGACATAAGAGGTTTGAAGAGGTGAAACAGTAAAAACAAACACATGCTAAGTTGTGGTTAGCAATTTAATGTTGAACGTATACCTTTTAAACTGAAAATTGCATTTTAAACTAAGGTTTAGTTCAAATTGCAAAAAAAAAAAGGATAAAGATAAAAAGGAATCGAATGTCTGTACTTTTTGTATTATTTTTTCTCTCAACGTGGTCCTCCAACTTAGAAAAAAAATCTAATGTTATCCTTTGACCAACGTTCTCTGATGTTGACCGTGACAGTTTATGGTGTTGACGTGATAATTCATTTTTCATGTTTGAGTTACCAATTTAGTCCATAACTAAATTTGTCGTGTTAACCGTCAGGCCGTCACACTATTAACCATTGTGGACTGTCACGTTAGCACTGTAACAGTCGACAACGAAAAACGTTGGTCAAAGGGTCACATAGGATTTATTTTTTCGAGTTTGAAGGTCATATTGAGAAGAAAAAAATAATATGATGATCAAGTTGTGCTTTTATTTAAAATACATCGACCTCCGATGATTTTTTTCTCCAAAAAAGAACATTTGTAGTACGATGTTAAAACCATTCAAATCAATTGAACAGAAAATTGACAATCATTGGGATTCGAATCCAAAATGCAACAAACTTAATTAGCTCTTAAACACCGAAATTATCCGGGCTATAAGTATCTCTTAGAAAGGAGGAAAAGTAAAAGAAATATGGAAGATTGTAAGACAAGAAAGTGCCAAAAACTATATTATGGTAGAGGCAAGGTATCGATTAGTTAAGGAAGTAAGCAAAGTCGGTCTTTTGGGATTCTGCCAGCAACTGCTCGTAGATTCACCAACTCCCTCACGGATTCTCTCCCCCATTTGAGCAAGTTATGTTCATTTAAAACCAACCAACATTAGCCTTGCATGGCTGTCTCCAAGTGCCTCTTGCTTGCAGCTTTACTCTACTATGGCATTGCCTCATAATCCCATTTTATTTTTCTGCATTTTCATCATCTTTGCATCAGGTAACTTTACCGTTTTTGTTGCATCTGTTTTCTTTACATGTTTTTGTGGTAAATTGTAAATGTAATCGCTTTGCATTTATATTTGATGACAAGGTGCAACAAAGCATGCAAATGCGAAAAATTTTACCCTTGTGAATCAGTGCAAAGACACGATATGGCCAGCGATAATCACAGACGGAAGCAACTTCCATGGCGAAGGGTTTATGTTGAAACCGGAAGAAACCGTCTTCTACAATGCTCCGAACGGTTGGAGTGGTCGCATATGGGGTCGAACAGGTTGCAGTTTCGATAAAAACGGCAATGGAACTTGCCAGACAGGCAACTGTGGCACTTCTGTTAATTGTACGAGCCCCGGTAGTCTCCCCGTTACCATTGCCGAATTCACACTCGGCGATATCGATTACTATGATGTTAGCCTCGTGGATGGCTTTAATTTGCCTATCGTGATTAAGCCTGGTGGTGGTAAAGGAAACTGCAGCACGGCCGGGTGTGACGGAGACTTGAGGCAAAATTGTTCGTCGGATCTCGTTTTTAAGAAAGACGGGAAGGTCAGCGGTTGCAGAAGTGCCTGCGATGCCTTCAATACTGATGAATATTGTTGCCGTGGGGCGTATGAAGATCCAGTTGCTTGTTTGCCTACGAATTATTCCAAGAGTTTCAAACAAGTTTGCCCTGCAGCATCTAGCTATGCTTATGATGATCGTGTTAGTATCATAACTTGCTCTGCATCAGATTACATGGTGGCATTTTGTGCAACAAGGTAAAGTAATATCATAGTTTCAAAATTGCACATATATGTATATGTATATGTATATGTATATGTATATGTATATGTGTATGTGTACGTGTACGTGTACGTGTACGTGTACGTGTACGTGTACGTGTACGTGTACGTGTACGTGTACGTGTACGTGTACGTGTACGTGTACGTGTACGTGTACGTGTACGTGTACGTGTACGTGTACGTGTACGTGTACGTGTACGTGTACGTGTACGTGTACGTGTACGTGTACGTGTACGTGTACGTGTACGTGTATATATGTATATATGTATAGTATTGAGAAAAGGGTATTTGCTGGTTTCAGGAACAATACAATATGCAGCTTTCAGGATGAGAAGCTTGTTTGCAGTGTTACATCAGAGGGCTTTGAAGCATTCTCTCAAACATGGAGGATTGTGATGCTGGCATTGCCGTTGGCTTCCATTTTACAGATTTTCTTTTAGCAAACTCTGCTCAAAGTTGTTTTGATTTGTATCATTTTGAAATCTAAATTCATGTTATGCGTTTATTTCTGTGTAATGAGAAGAATCGTCGCGGTTGATAAAAACACAGTGTATCTCTATGTTCGAATTTCAATATCTGCAAATCTTTTCTATGCTTATGCTTATGCTTATGCTTATGCTTATGCTTATGCTTATGCTTATGCTTATGCTTATGTTATGAGCATAAAAGAACTGATTTTTTTCACTATAGAACTACAAAGTTATATGGATGTCAAAAAACTGTCTCCTATCCCTCTGCATTGTTTCTGATTGCCTTTTTACCAGTTTGGCTTTTTTGATTCACTGATTTGGACTCCTCGTCTTCAAACGGTAATACGGTGGCTGCTGGCACCGTAAGTGTAACATCCTCCATGCCGGGTTAGTGATTAATTTGCAAAGTTTCAACATTTGGTGATTAAAGTAGAACAATTATATAGTTTAAAAATAAAGGTTGGTAAATATGAGATTAAGGTGAGGACCAAATGGTCATTTGCAAGGGGAATTTTTAATTAAATAAAATGTTATGGGGTATATATGATACCCACGTGTGATTTAGATTTCCAGAACCTCCCATTTCTTCTTCATTCTTCCTTATTTTCTTCTCTTCCTTCTCTCAACGTGGGGCTTGCATTTAAGGTAAGAATCTGAACTTGATAGTTTCTTTGATGTTTTATGATTGGAAATAAAAGCTTGGATGTTGTATAAGCTAAAGGAAAGCTTATATGACATTAAAACAACAAGATTAGTGTTTTAGAGAATGATTTGGAAATGAGTTTTTAGATGAGATTTTGATATGGATGAGTTTTTGATGTTTGAATCAGAATTTTGACCTGTCAATAAGCTAATTAAGAAGTATGAGGGGTTAGAATTCAAATTAGAACATATTGGAATTTGAGTTGGATTCTTAAATTCTACATGGAGAATTAGATTTCTAAGTATTAGAGGTATTTAATGGATAGTAATTAGTTTAAGTAAGTGTATGAGAGCTAAGAGTAGTAAAAGGATTGAAATAGGTATGTTTGAGCTGAAATGGGATGATTTCCGAGCTCAAATTAGGAATTCTGGGTTAGGGGAATCGGTACCCATTCAAGGGGAACCGATACCCCTTCAACAAATATGATTTCCAGAATGCTAGAGGGGAATCGGTACCCCAGGGGGGGGAACCGATACCCCTCATCGTATATGAAATTCCAGACTGCTTGAAGGGAATCGATACCCCTAAGGGGGGGAACCGATTCCCCCATGACAAAAAGAAGAAGAAAGAAAAGAAAGCAAGACTAAGCTATAAATTCTTTTAATTAGTAAGCTATTAAAGCTTAATTGCAATACATCAACATTTGATGATCATCTTAAAATTATGTTTATGTAGATACCGAGCCTACTCGAGTTCGGGAACAATCTACAAGTAGGATCGATCGAGGAAAAGGCAAAGAAGTATAGGTGAGTGCATATGCATAGCATGAATATAGTCGTATATTCAGTTCTAGACTTGTGATAAGTCTAGATTCCATATTTGACACATGATTACATTCCATATTATGATACATGACATGAATTTGTATTAAATGTATTACATGACATGAATTCATCTTATATGTATTACATGACATGAATATGCAGAAAAGTTCTATGCACTATGTGATAAAGGTATGTAAATGATACGCCTATGTGTTAAAGGTATGGAAATACTATGTCTACGCGATATGAACTACGGGAAATGTATAAGCCCATGTTATGTAGATGAGAACTATAGGTATAGTTGGCATGCCAAGGGTAGAGGGTATACTCGGTTCTTTAGGACATATGTATATCCTTTGGAACATGTGTGAAGTCTTGAAAGACACATACTTGATCCATAGTATATGTATATGATTCTTAAAGGATTCTACGTGGTCCTTATGGACAAAATTCTACGGGCACTTCGGTGCAAATTCTACGGGCACTTCGGTGCAAATTCTACGGGCACTTCGGTGCATTTATACGAGCTGTGGTGACAGCATAGTGCACAACCTCACATTACTCAAATACCTTAGGTTCTCAATATGCTATCATGGGCCAATAAACTTATTAATACTGAATAATGAATGTTACAGTCATACGCTTACAGGTATGGATATTGTTAAAGTATACTACATTGATTAGTTACATGTTTGCATCTCATCTCATATGATCCTGACATATTCATTACAATACATTGCCTTATTATTGTTGCCTCACTAAGTCGATGACTTAGCGTGTGAGTGTTTCACACGTAGGATCCGAGGAAATTAGACGAGACAGGTGAAGCAGCTTGACAGTATTACTCCTGCAACCATCAGATCAGAAGCAACTTATCAGTAGGTCATTTTGTTATGTAAATAGCAGTTGGCATGTAATTAAAGAGTTAAGTTGTGTATGCTCTGAATATTTTTGTAAACTTATATTACAGTATGTATATTATTGTATTTTCTTAATACAAGTCCCAATATTTTACTATTATTTATTAAGAGTTGTGTTTTAAAGTCAATGTAGTATCTCTGACTCATATCCGGGTCGGGTATGGGTTAGGGGTGTTACATTTAATGGTATCAGAGCCATGGTTTAGCCGATTCTAGGCATAAACCAGAGTCTATGGAGTCTGTCAATGGAATACATGCCAACTAATAGCGAGAACTTCTGATCTGGTATAGTATGAGTATGCTGTTTTGCTAATAGAACAATGTGGTTATTCTTATTAGATGTCCGGACATAATAGCTCCCGAAGTGAAGCGGGAGAAGATAGGCATGCTGAAAGCAGTAATTCACCTGCCCTGGCCAGGCAGAGTGAAGAACGGGCATCTCAAGGAGTGCCTGTGCAAGATCAAGATACGTTCTTCAGAACGTTAGACGCTATTCTGACGCGTCTTCAACCTCCTGCTCCACTAACTCCAAGAATTAATGTAGCAAAAGAATTGAGAAGTTTAGGAGCTCCCGAATTTAAGGGAGAAGCTGAGGAAGGTCCGGTGTCAGCGGATCTTTGGTTGAATGATTTGAAAATCATGTTAGATGGTCTCCACTGTTCCGAAGTGGAGAAATTAGATGGAGCTGTGTCTTTACTAAGGGGTCAGGCGAGGATATGGTGGACGAATGTCACCATGAGGATGTCAACCGACCAGTTGACTTGGTCTTTGTTTCTAGAAGAATTTAAAAGCAAGTATATTGGAGATCAGTTTATCCGCCAAATGAAGCAGGAATTTATGAATTTGAAGCAGATGAGCCGCTCGGTATATGAGTACGAATGTGAGTTTAATAAGCTGAGCAGGTTTGCAGCCGAGCTTGTGCCCACTGAGAAAGATGCTTGCGAATGGTTCGTGGAGGGCTTGCGCCCTAGGCTTAAGGAAATGTTGATAGTATTAAACCTGTCCTCGTTCCAGGAGGTGATCAATCGTGCAAAAGCTCTTGAAAGGGCTCAGAATGAAAGATTTGGGGACTCGAGAGTTCAGACATCAAAGAGGACGACTACTTATTCTGGTTCAACACCAACAAAAAGGGGAAGAGACTCGGGATTTCGATCACAAGCTAGATCAGAATCAGTTGCATCGTCTGCTAGGGGAGCAAGTCAGGCAAGACCTAGACAGACGCAGTCAGTGGAATCTGGTGTTGGGAGATCTACTCCGGGGCAAGGGAGACAGTGTCAGCAGTGTGGGAAAAACCATTATGGAACTTGTCGTATGGCAGCTGGGACTTGTTTCCGATGTGGAGAGGCCGGACATTTTGTCCGTGACTGTCCCTTGATTGTTGGGGAGCCGGCACCATCTGGAAGAGCTGGTTCTTTTTCACAAAGAGGCCGAGGAAGAGGCAGAGGAAGGAACCCGTCTGAATTCTCTGCTCAACCTGAAGTTCGATCCACTGCTCGAGTATACAACCTAAAGACAAGTGAAGACCGTGATGACCCTGATATTATAGCAGGTACTTTTCAGTTGTATGATAAATTGGTATTGGTACTGATTGATCCGGGTTCTAATTATTCTTATATTACAAGTAAGTTAGTAAAGGAGTTGGGGATTCCCTTAGAAGCTACGAGTAATGAGAATATAGTAACAACTCCGTTAGGCCAGAGTGCCCGGGTGAATAAAGTTTGTAAGGGGTGTCCTATAAAGATTCAGGGAATTGAATTCCCTGCTAATCTGATGGAATTACCCTTTGACGAGTTTGAAGTGATTCTGGGAATGGATTGGTTGTTTCGGTATTATGGAGATGTTAGTTGCAGATTGAAAAAGGTAACTCTGAAAAGTCCAGACGGAATAGAGATAAGTGTGAACAGTGAAAAGTTTAATCCGTTAGCAAATGTAATATCAGTGATGTCTGCCAAGAAATTATTGCTACAAGGATGTCAGGGTTTTCTGGCAAATGTGATTGATTCAAGAGCTCAAGAGAAAAGGTTAGAGGAAATTCCAATAGTTCGAGAGTTCCCTGATGTTTTTCCTGCTGAATTGCCAGGATTACCTCCGGATAGAGAGGTAGAATTCCAAATAGAAATAATGCCGGGAACAGCTCCGATTGCAATGGCACCTTATCGAATGGCTCCGAAAGAATTGCAAGAGTTAAAGAATCAATTACAAGAATTGCTAGAGAAGGGATTTATCCAACCAAGTGTATCGCCTTGGGGAGCTCCGGTGTTATTTGTTAAAAAGAAGGATGGATCAATGCGTCTTTGCATTGACTATCGACAGCTCAATAAGGTGACCATCAAGAACAAGTATCCCCTTCCGCGCATTGATGATTTGTTTGATCAACTAAAAGGAGCTTCGGTATTTACAAAGATCGATCTACGTTCGGGTTATCATCAATTGAAGATCCAGGAGAAAGATACTCCGAAGACAGCTTTCAGAACGAGATATGGTCATTATGAATTCATAGTAATGCCATTCGGAGTAACGAATGCACCTGCTGCTTTCATGGATCTTATGAACAGGATTTTTCAGCCATACTTGGACCAGTTTGTTGTTGTCTTTATTGATGACATACTGGTGTACTCGAAATCCCATGAAGAGCATAGCACACATCTGAGGATCGTCTTGCAAATTTTAAAAGATAAAAAGTTGTATGCCAAATTGTCCAAATGTGAGTTCTGGTTAAGGGAAGTAATTTTCCTGGGGCATGTGATCTCGGCAGTTGGGATTAGAGTAGACCCTCAGAAAGTTAAAGCTATAATGGATTGGGAAGTTCCTAAGAATGTGTCTGAAGTTCGGAGTTTTCTGGGACTTGCCGGTTACTATCGAAGATTCGTTAAGAATTTTTCGATGATTGTGCTGCCTTTAACAAAGCTAATGAGAAAGAACATACCATTTGTTTGGACTTCTGAATGTCAAGAAAGCTTCGAAGCTTTAAAGAGAATTCTGACGGAAACCCCGATATTGGTTCAACCGGAATCTGGCAAGAATTTTGTAGTATACAGTGACGCATCCCATAACGGGTTGGGGTGTGTATTAATGCAAGAAGGAAAAGTGGTAGCGTACGCATCGAGACAGTTGAAACCACATGAAAGGAATTACCCCACTCATGATCTAGAAATGGCTGCTGTAGTATTCGCTCTCAGGATTTGGCGTCATTATCTTTATGGGGAACGTTGCTACTTATATACGGATCATAAGAGCCTGAAGTACCTGATGACTCAAAAAGAATTGAATTTGAGGCAACGTAGATGGGTAGAGTTCTTAAAGGATTACGATGTGATAATTGACTATCATCCCGGAAAGGCTAATGTGGTAGCAGATGCTCTGAGTAGAAAGACGTTTGCAGCTTTACGAGCTATGGATGCAAGATTATCTTTAACGGGAGATGGTGGTCTTTGTGCAGAATTAACCCTTAAACCAGCATGGTTGGAACGAATAGGAGAATTGCAAGGTAAAGATGAAATGTGTTTGAAAAGAATTGAACAAGTCAAGAACAAAGAGATTAAAGACTTTGAGATTAAGTCAGATGGAAATCTATATTGTAAAGGAAGAATTGTAATACCCGACAACGAAGATTTGAAGAAAGAAATATTAACAGAGGCTCATTGCAGTCCGTTAACGATGCACCCGGGTGGAACCAAGATGTATATGGATTTGAAGAATCGATTTTGGTGGTCAGGGATGAAGCGAAGCATCACAGAATTTGTGTCTAAATGTTTGATATGTCAACAAGTCAAAGCCGAGCATCAAGTTCCATCAGGATTATTGCAACCGCTGTTCATTCCTCAATGGAAGTGGGAAAATGTTACGATGGATTTTGTTACGGGGTTACCCTTGACCCCGAACAAAAGAGAATCGATCTGGGTTATTGTTGATAGATTAACTAAGTCAGCGCATTTTCTCCCTGTTAGAACGGATTTCTCTATGGAAAAGTATGCAGAGCTGTATATTAGAGAAGTTATTAGATTGCATGGAGTACCTGTTTCCATAGTCTCTGATCGGGACCCTCGATTCACTTCTAGATTCTGGAAATCTTTGCATGGAGCGTTGGGGACTCGTTTAAACTTTAGTACGGCTTTTCATCCTCAGACTGATGGGCAATCAGAGAGAACCATTCAGATATTGGAAGACATGTTGAGAGCGTGCGTAATGGAATTTAAAGGATCATGGGAAAAGTATTTACCGCTGGCAGAGTTCGCTTACAACAATAGTTATCAGTCTAGTATAAAGATGGCCCCCTATGAAGCGTTATATGGAAGAAAATGTCGTACTCCATTAAATTGGTATGAACTCAAAGACCGAAGTGTTCTTGGTCCGGATTTAATTCAAGATGTAGAACAGAAAGTTCGAGAAATTCAGCATAACCTCAAAGTGGCCTCTGATCGGCAAAAGTCCTATTCTGATCTTAAAAGGAAAGAAATTGAATTTCAAGTTGGAGATAAAGTGTTTTTAAAAGTGTCTCCATGGAAGAAGGTGTTGAGATTTGGTCGGAAAGGAAAATTGAGTCCTCGGTTTATTGGACCATATGAGATTGTAAAGAGAGTAGGACCTGTAGCATATCAGCTAGTTTTACCACCTGGGATGGAAAAGATACATGATGTTTTTCACGTTTCAATGCTTCGAAAATATAGATCTGACCCTTCTCATATCGTGACACCAGAAGAGATTGAGGTTCGTCCTGACTTGACTTATGAGGAAGAACCGATTCAAATTTTAGCCCATGAAGTTAAGCAATTGAGGAACAAGACCATTCCTTTGGTCAAAGTGTTGTGGAGAAATCACAGAGTAGAAGAAGCAACGTGGGAGCGTGAAGAGGATATGCGACATCAATACCCTCATTTGTTCGTGCAATGAAAATTCGAGGACGAATTTTCTTAAGGGGGAGAGATTTGTAACATCCTCCATGCCGGGTTAGTGATTAATTTGCAAAGTTTCAACATTTGGTGATTAAAGTAGAACAATTATATAGTTTAAAAATAAAGGTTGGTAAATATGAGATTAAGGTGAGGACCAAATGGTCATTTGCAAGGGGAATTTTTAATTAAATAAAATGTTATGGGGTATATATGATACCCACGTGTGATTTAGATTTCCAGAACCTCCCATTTCTTCTTCATTCTTCCTTATTTTCTTCTCTTCCTTCTCTCAACGTGGGGCTTGCATTTAAGGTAAGAATCTGAACTTGATAGTTTCTTTGATGTTTTATGATTGGAAATAAAAGCTTGGATGTTGTATAAGCTAAAGGAAAGCTTATATGACATTAAAACAACAAGATTAGTGTTTTAGAGAATGATTTGGAAATGAGTTTTTAGATGAGATTTTGATATGGATGAGTTTTTGATGTTTGAATCAGAATTTTGACCTGTCAATAAGCTAATTAAGAAGTATGAGGGGTTAGAATTCAAATTAGAACATATTGGAATTTGAGTTGGATTCTTAAATTCTACATGGAGAATTAGATTTCTAAGTATTAGAGGTATTTAATGGATAGTAATTAGTTTAAGTAAGTGTATGAGAGCTAAGAGTAGTAAAAGGATTGAAATAGGTATGTTTGAGCTGAAATGGGATGATTTCCGAGCTCAAATTAGGAATTCTGGGTTAGGGGAATCGGTACCCATTCAAGGGGAACCGATACCCCTTCAACAAATATGATTTCCAGAATGCTAGAGGGGAATCGGTACCCCCAGGGGGGGGGAACCGATACCCCCTCATCGTATATGAAATTCCAGACTGCTTGAAGGGAATCGATACCCCTAAGGGGGGGAACCGATTCCCCCATGACAAAAAGAAGAAGAAAGAAAAGAAAGCAAGACTAAGCTATAAATTCTTTTAATTAGTAAGCTATTAAAGCTTAATTGCAATACATCAACATTTGATGATCATCTTAAAAATTATGTTTATGTAGATACCGAGCCTACTCGAGTTCGGGAACAATCTACAAGTAGGATCGATCGAGGAAAAGGCAAAGAAGTATAGGTGAGTGCATATGCATAGCATGAATATAGTCGTATATTCAGTTCTAGACTTGTGATAAGTCTAGATTCCATATTTTGACACATGATTACATTCCATATTATGATACATGACATGAATTTGTATTAAATGTATTACATGACATGAATTCATCTTATATGTATTACATGACATGAATATGCAGAAAAGTTCTATGCACTATGTGATAAAGGTATGTAAATGATACGCCTATGTGTTAAAGGTATGGAAATACTATGTCTACGCGATATGAACTACGGGAAATGTATAAGCCCATGTTATGTAGATGAGAACTATAGGTATAGTTGGCATGCCAAGGGTAGAGGGTATACTCGGTTCTTTAGGACATATGTATATCCTTTGGAACCTGTGTGAAGTCTTGAAAGACACATACTTGATCCATAGTATATGTATATGATTCTTAAAGGATTCTACGTGGTCCTTATGGACAAAATTCTACGGGCACTTCGGTGCAAATTCTACGGGCACTTCGGTGCAAATTCTACGGGCACTTCGGTGCATTTATACGAGCTGTGGTGACAGCATAGTGCACAACCTCACATTACTCAAATACCTTAGGTTCTCAATATGCTATCATGGGCCAATAAACTTATTAATACTGAATAATGAATGTTACAGTCATACGCTTACAGGTATGGATATTGTTAAAGTATACTACATTGATTAGTTACATGTTTGCATCTCATCTCATATGATCCTGACATATTCATTACAATACATTGCCTTATTATTGTTGCCTCACTAAGTCGATGACTTAGCGTGTGAGTGTTTCACACGTAGGATCCGAGGAAATTAGACGAGACAGGTGAAGCAGCTTGACAGTATTACTCCTGCAACCATCAGATCAGAAGCAACTTATCAGTAGGTCATTTTGTTATGTAAATAGCAGTTGGCATGTAATTAAAGAGTTAAGTTGTGTATGCTCTGAATATTTTTGTAAACTTATATTACAGTATGTATATTATTGTATTTTCTTAATACAAGTCCCAATATTTTACTATTATTTATTAAGAGTTGTGTTTTAAAGTCAATGTAGTATCTCTGACTCATATCCGGGTCGGGTATGGGTTAGGGGTGTTACAGTAAGCCAACGCTCTTTCAAGAAGCTTAGGAATCTCTTGACCATTTCCCTCCTGAATTCGAGCTCTCGAGTGAAGAGATCGCATAGTACATACTTGAAAGGTATGATGAGAAGAATGGTTGCGGATGTTAAAAACACTAGTGCAACCTCGGTTGTTATCTGCAAAAAAATGTTTAAATGAATATATTTGATTCCAAATTTGCCAAAGCAGTATAGAATCACAATGTTCTTGTCGTGTTCGCATTCGTTAATCATGGCATCGTACCTGAGGCTGACCGGCGAGGAGGATCGTGCGTAATTTCAGGAGAGTAGCGTTCGGATTCTGGAGAAAATACTCCACGTCTCGGATGCCATCTTTTACTGCTATGATCTTTTGAATAGTATTTGAAGGTGGCTGATCACGTATAGTGACTTTGCCGAAAGATCTACCGAGACGACCTTGCTCCTCGAGGCCTTTAAGCGTTAGCATGCAGGCGGCTAAGACAATCAAAGCCATCGGAAAAACATATGGCAGCAGGTTTCTAGAGCATAAATGTTCAACACATCAGCCTACCAGTGCTCAAATGTAGTGATAAGAGGGAAAATAACAACAAAAGGTAGCTGTACAAATAAGACCGCCGCCTTCTATCACAAGAAAAAGCTCACCCTTTAGCCATGAGCTAAAGCTCGAAAGTGAAGTAAAAATTTCTAAATGAAGAGACCAAAATATAGACCACGAACCTGAAAATAATTGTATAAACAAATGCAAGGAAAGAGAGTCAAGTGTGGCTCCTCCCAGCGTCTAAGCTTGTCAATATTCCGAGCAGTGATTGTAAAAGGAAGAATAAGTTCTTGTATAAAGAGAGAGCTTGAGTTCAATCGATGGACGTATAAGGTTATACGTAAAAAATAAACAGGACATGCTGAAACAAGAACAAACGCATGACAAGAAGCCAAAAAACATAGTAAAATCGATGCTGAACCTTGAAAAGGTCGACATTACTGGGTATCACTTCAAGTTTCGCCGCATCGATGGTGGCTTAAGTTTTTTCCACTGCCTGGTATTTTTGTTTGCAGATCCCTGCTGCCCTTTCAATGAGAGACTTATCAGCCACAACAAGATTTTTATTAAGCACTACTGCTGGTCTACTTGAAGAATGCTTCCAAAAACCAATGGAAGCACTAGAAACCCAAGACGGAGATCTCATCCACTTCCGTCGATGTCAAATACATGATCGCTGATGTCTAACGACGCCGATTCAGAAGGGCTTGTTCCTTCAGCTCGTTGATACCCCGCATCCGTAGCTTTTACAACTAATGGTCCACCCCAATAATTCACGGCTAGAGTTTGAAAGACGAGGTCACCATGGGGTGCATTTTGCAAAAAACGAGAAGTGAACAAGTTTGATTGGATCATCCAACAACTTTCGCATGAACTGGAGTGCTTGCAGTCTAGCAATGCCATTAACGGCACCGGTCGTAGCCTTTTGCTTCCCTTTTTGAGAACCGAATACTTGAGACAGCGATAGGTCATTATCATCCGGTCCATACTCACTACGAAACTTGTGCAGAGTTATAATTTCACCGATCGATGCGTGCCAACATCTCGCCTCAATTCACCTCCCAAGTCGACAAACTCCAACACCCATGTTTATGTTCTGTATACAAGTTCAAAAATATAATTATTTGTTTAAGAGGAACTCCAATGGAGAAAAAATGGACCTTCACCTACATGACTAAGTTGGCAAAATATAATCGTTTGAGCATAGTCCAACACCCTTTAATTATTTATTATGTAGAAACGAAAAAAGTATTTTGTTTCGTTGCTGCTTTCTAGCCATGTGATTTTGGGTAAATGGTGGGCCATCACTTGGACCCACTTTACTCCCTTCTCTGCAACAAAGGGATCCACCGCCCATGAATTTATTTTATAGTGTAAACCACAAGTTTTCAACTTTTAACCTCAGTAGTCAACCCTCCTTCAAAATTCAGCAGTGCATGGAAATTTATTGCCTAGTATCTGTGGTACTTGAAAGTAAGCCTTGTGGACGGGACAACATTTTTGAGTGAATTTGTTCCAAAATAGAATTTGATCCGACACGTCTCGAGCTTAATCAAGACCCTCTCTGGCTACCTGACATCAAGGTCTAGACCCAAAAAATGGAAATTAAGCTGCATATTTGAAATAGAAATTATATCATTGCATTCATGTATGAATACGTGCTCGAACATAGGATTGCATTGCCCATTACTAAGGCTTTAGAAATCTGCCCAACAAAATGGGGCTATATGAAAACATTAACCTAATACATCATTGCTTAGCCATGAAGCAGCCTTAACAATGAAATCAAATGTGTTTTAGCTCTTATTATCTAATAGGGACCCATGTTCATTGACCTTAAATCCTCACTTTCATAATTGTCATGTGATCTCTCCACATGCCCACTCATGTGGAAGCATAGCATCATATCATGTTCATGACACATTTTGACATTCTTTCGTATCTTTTCACATCATTACATTCAAGGACAGAGCTATCTTATTAGTGGGAGGGGCTGCCCCCTCATTTTTTGGGTCAAATTATTTTCCGGTCCTTCATACTTTTGAAACTAAGAAAATTAAGTCTTGTCCCAAAGTTTTTGAGTCTAGTTACTTATAAGGTCCATATTAGTTTTGGAAGTAGAAAAATCAAACTCTTAGCCCATTTTTTTTCAATTTAAATACTTATTAGGTCCTTATCTTGAAATTAGGCAAATTAAGATTGATCCTTATTTTTTTGGTGTAAATACTATTTACACTCTTGTTAATTTTAAAATTAGACAAAACAGATTCCGACTCTCTAATTTTAAAATTTTATACAGGAGGCTTGACATTTCGGATCCCATTTTATTATTATCATTTATATTTGTCTCTCCTGAAGTTTCATCTTGGTTTCCTCCCTGATCACACGGATTATATATCTTGTGAATTTTCTTTTTTCATTTTGGTCAGTTAATTTTGTACTGGAATGGGCGGGCATCGGTGGATTGTAAAATAGTGATATGTCCAAGGAAGCAATCACTTACATACAAGCAGTGTGGATTTGATGGATTGAGGGTTTAAAACCCAAAACTTGTTTGTTTTCAGATTGATTGAAGGGGAATGTTGAGAGTTACGTGTATGCTTGTGCATGTTACAGCTGAGATGGTTCTAGAAACGATCTAGAAGTTAGTTAGTTAGTTATCATAACAGATTGTTGTTATGAAATTCTGTTAAGCAGTTTTAGCTTGGTAAGCTAGTATATAAGGAGCAGAATATGTAAGGCTTGTGATCATCTATTAATGATAGAAAAGTGTTTGAATAAATTCTTGAAACTTGTTTGATTACTCAATAGGGAAAATGGCACTTGAGTTCTCTTTCATTGTTCTCCATTCTCTTATCCACAAATGGATCTGAGAAAAAAAGGAAGAAAAAAAAAAGGAAAGAAGGGGGAGGCAGAATTCAGGGGAAGAAAGAGGCACAGAAACACTTCACATGGTTCGAGTATTGCAAAAGTAAATCATAGGCCAAGAAGACGATGAGAAGTCCCTAAATGGGAAGATCAATTTTTTGTGCCCCCTATCCCTCCGCTCCCCAACCCAAAGATTTTGGTCATTTTTGTATTGGTTACTTGGGTTTTAAGGAAGAAAAAGAAAAAGGGGGTTGTAATTGGCATGTGCAGTGGGTGTATGCTATACTGTTCCTAATCTTAATCAAACTGGCAAAGTATCTCTCTCTCTCTCTCTCTCTCTCTTTGTGCTGTGATGTTTCTGCCATGATATATACTAAAGGCCAATGGGGCAGCCATTCTATGTTTTGATGACAGCTCTTGCCCCATGATTATGGAAGCTCCACTTGAAAGAACATCAACCCACACTTGTGCAGTGTGATAATGCTCATTACCAACAATAAATGAAGTTCCAAAGGTTAAGCTAAACTGCATACAAGGTAATCCAGGGGGAATGCCTCTTAGGAATGATGTAGTTTAAGACCAATGCCAACATTTTCATCCTGTAGGGAATTGAAAAACACCATCATCAAGAGCAGAAATCGACGGTGCACATCAGCACCCTTAACCAATGTTTCGGACTGGAATTAACAACTTCTGGTTTCTCCACAGCAGTTAAAGATAGAAGATAATGATTGATCAAATTGTTGGAAGTCTACCATCTCATTTCCAGAGCTGGGAAAGAAACCATCAACAAGTGGCTGCCGGAGTTTATTTCTTCTATATGGAAGATGCCGTGTCGTCTGACCATCTTCCGGAAGACACAATGTTGTCCGACTATCTTTTAAGAGCATTGTGAATTTTTCCATAATTGAGATAAAAAAATCGAAGACAACATTTTAGAATTTTTTTTCCAACTGCCCTATCTGGGGATTCAATTAGAATGATTTGAATTTTAAATATTAATTTAGAATATGAATTCTAATACAGACATGTTGGGGAGAATTCATAAAAAATAATAATGGGAGGAAATGACCTAACTATCCCTACATTTTATAATAATGCGACTAAATGACCGCGAGTACACGTAACCTATCGCCTTGCAGCGCAGGTTCATCTTTCCCTCTTTTCTTCTCTCTCTCATTGCTCAGTGCTTCGCTTTGCGTTTTTTCAGCTTGAATTTTCCTCTTATCCAATCAGCGGAAACAAAGGCAAAAGGCCAAAAAGGAAAGACAGATGAGCAACGAAGTGGAGAAAATAGAACTGAAAATACGGGGCTGTCATGGCGTCTTCCAAGGTGATTACGTCCACGTCAAGGACGAATCCCGACGTGCCACGTCAGCCATCCCTATGCTCTTCGCCCTCCACTCTCCTCGCTGGTCTCCAAAACCAACAAAACAACCAAAACCAATCTCAGAACTGCCTAGGCTCCATGACCATGGACGATCTTGAAAAACATCTATTCGTCGACGCCGCCGCAGCCGACTGCTTCTTCCGACGCCCACGCACAGTTCCTCGGCGCCTCCATCTCACGCGAAGGTAGTTTCTCGCTTCCGAAGGATGTGGCGAACAAGTCCGTCGACGAGGTTTGGAAGGAGATCGTCGCCGGCGGAGGAGGCGATCAGAGGCAGGAAGGTCAGCTGGAAGAGATGACTTTGGAGGATTTTTTGACGAAAGCTGGAGCGGTTAGAGAAGAGGATGTCGGGGAAGTTGTTAATCAGGTGGGAGTAGGTGCAGGTGTTTATCCTGCGGATCCCGTCGTTATCAACGGCGGTGGAAGTCAGTTTCCGGCGTTTGGAAACAACGGCAATGTTTATCATCAGCCATTGGTCGTGGTGCCAGCTGGTGGAGGCGCGATGAGAGGTAAACGACGCGCCGTCGAGGAACCTCCTTTGGATAAAGCGACGCAGCAGAAACAGAGGAGGATGATTAAGAACAGGGAATCCGCTGCTAGGTCTAGAGAACGCAAACAGGTCAGGCCCTCCTTTCTAAATTATGTTTGGTTGCCTAGAAAGTGAAGAGAAATGATATACTTAACTTTATCTCATTGAGATTTTAATTGTATTGCTATCCTTGTTGACATTTAGGCATATACTGTTGAATTGGAATCTATGGTTTCACATTTGGAAGAAGAGAACGCTCGGTTGCTAAGAGAAGAGGTATATATGCAGCTATATTATATGATCTTAGATGATCACATTCAAGAATTTCAATTGTTTCCCGTTTACCCAGCCTAGTGAACTACTTAAGTGCTATGATCAAAATTAAAATGTGTCTCAAAATAATTCCAAAGCTAATCAATATACATAAATCAAAATGATGTATTACCATGCTTCCTTTCAAACGTATTCATTGGTAACATGAACTGAAATAGCGGAGATTTTGGTCCACTTTTCTTTTTAATCTGGTTTTTAGTCAATTAGTATCTAGACACTTAATCTCGATGAATGTATGAATCATCCTTAGGCGTTAGATCATAAACATTTTGATTCTGAATTGATTTCAAAATACATTGCAGGCTGAGCTGAACAAGGAGAGGTTTAAGCAGGTATGTCACTTTGTTTAATCTTTCAATTCAGTTACATTATGTGCTTCAATTGTCTCAAGATTTATTCAATTTATTTTATGAATCATCAATTCATAAAAATCCCATCATTGGTTTTGTGATCAATGTTTGGAGATGTCTTTTATTTGCAAGTAAATGAACATTTCAGCAAACATTGAGTGAATATATTTCACTTTGGAGTTGCT